TGTAGGAGAGAATTTTCCCAAATGGGAATATTTCCGGGAAAGATTACGATATTTCCTGGCTTAAATCTACTATCTTAAGACATACTGATCCTTAACATTGACAGATAGCCAAAATCCAGGCTTATCTCATCGTAACTCCTCGTGATCTCTTGTTTGTTTATCCGTTACTCATGAAAAACTTGTGTTTTTTTAAATGAAGTGTATTTTTGGCGATTTTGCCTCAACGATTTGATTCTTCATGAAGTATTATTTATTTTAATAACAAACACAGTTCATAAGTTCACAGTTCATAATGGAGGCATAGAGTGTTCTCTATAATCAAGATTTTTTATTATTTACTCCAGAGCAATCCCACTACACATCGGTATTGTCCTTCATGGCTGAAACAATGAAACATCGCACATTTTAAAAAAACCTTTCTATCATTTTCATGTTCCATTCGAAGCTTAAATCAAAGAACTCCTCATAGAAAACCATTTAGTTTGGCCCCTGCTCAATTTCACTATTATGCATTTGGTATGATATTCTTTACAACCCCTTAAACTAGATGAGCCTTCACAATTAAACTTTCTGTATGTCAATGTAGAGCAAAATAGGGCTTGAAAGTGGATCTTTAGATGAGGTTTTTCATGGAGTCATCGCACAGTGACTGTGTCAACCTGCGGAGCTTTTTTTCTGGAGTAGTTGACAGGACTGTTGAAAGCTTGTCTAATCTTCCTGGCTGGCTTGTAGCACGGAAGAAAGAGCTCTCCTTGTTCACCAAAACTTTTACATGATGCTTGTATAAATTCTGAAAAATTCCCTTTTCAACCTTCCTTATCTCAAAATTGGCATGCCAAAAGTTTGATTTCCAAAAGTTATTGCGTTCAAGTGGTCATAAAAGAAATTTTTATCACATATGAACAACATTTAGTTAGCATTAAATCCCTCGGTTTTCAGTGTAGAACCATTTGAAAAGAATTTGACGCAAGTTATCCAAGTGAAAAATTTTGATTTTATTATTGGGTATGCTGACGGAGGGAATGATTGCCTGAAATAACAGGGTGATAGGTCAGCAATCAATGCACGGTAATGGGGTGGGCAGTTTGTTATTGTTCATGGTTCTTTTTGATAGCGTTATTGAATAGTTGCCAACTGCAGTTAACAAAGAAATTTTAGGGATCTTTCGAAAGTGATTAGAGTTTAATCTGCAATCTATGTTTTATTTTATTATTAAGTGAGACATATACTGAATTCTCATTATTTGTTGGTATGTGCTATTTGATCGAATCTAACAGCAGATTAAAAGATACCCATAATTAGGAAACAACGTAAAACATTTTATTGTAGGTTCTTTTTGCCCAAGACTTTTACATTATTTCAATATGCCCAGCAAATTTCACCAAAATCTAAGATGTTCATGAAAATTCATTGGTTGAATTGACATGGAATAACCCATTACTTGTGTGAATGAAGGATGAGTATAATTAGCCTAAAAGACTGATTATTTCAGGTTTTCAAGATTTTCCAGCCTAGAATTGAGAGTAATTTGTGTCTTGAAACAACAGAAAAATCAGAATTGCATCAATGGATTAGTTTTTTACCTTCTTCTTCATGCCTGTCCTTTCTTAGTTACTAATCAAACTGTCTTCAATTTCCACTTTACTCTATCTTGTATTGGCGCTAGTCTACATTAGTTTCACAAAACCTTTTGATTAGCTGCAAATTTATCAAAAAGGTAAAAATTGCTAATTGAATTTGGCAATTGAATCAACTCCCTTCCTGTTTTCAATCAATATTCATGACAATAAAGAGTTGAATTTGCTGAATCTATAGTCACTTTCGGACCTCCTGTCCCTTTTTCTTGAAACTCAACTGGAGACACCCCTGGAAATTAACATATTTGGTTCAGATACTGAAACATCACCAATCTTTATCTGCCTACAAAGTATTATGTTAGGTTAGTCGGATTGCTTTTCTCCACGTGTGTGCCGATAACAGTGTTTGGGAGCCTTTAACAATTTATTATTTTCTAATAATTTGGTTTTCCTGTTCTCTGTTTTTTTTCTGTTTTCTTAATTTACTACTAGTTTCATCGGATATCCTTCAAGTTTTATGCTTCTCACTTTAAACTTTATTCAGTTTGGTCCCTAACCTATTCTGCAATCCTGCGTATGTCTCGACACAGATATGTTCTTTGGTAGTAAGATTACAAGTATAAGTCAAACAAAACTGGTCTTGTAGCAGTGGGAGTTGGGCGTGGAAAAACATATGTCACTCCTAAACCAGTAGAAGAATTTTAAAAAGTAGGGAACTTTTGGAAAGCTGAGAGATTGTTGGGTGAGACTGTTTTTTTACCAAATCTAATTATCTTCATTAGTTTCAAAGATAATCTAAATGTATCCTTGCCCCTCGTGTTTTTAAAGCTCTCTTATTGGAATCTAATTCAAAGGTGCAACTGTCATGTCTTTCTCCGAGACCAGTAATTTTAGAATAGGTATTGATCATTTTGCTACTGAATGAGTTTAACAGCAATATTCCTGCCTGCGCTAACAGGTTTTACCATGGCCATCTTTGAAATATTTTTTAATGTTATTGCATTTGTTAAAAAATGAACCTTGTATGAAATGTTCCTTTTATTGCAAAGAAGTACTGCTTTTTTTTCACCAAAAGTTTTTTTCCTCCTTTCCTGCGGAAAATCAACAGAGGTTGCTTATTTTTTTTTCCTCTGAAAAACCTTAATTAGTAAGTAAGTTAAACCTTCTGTTAAGAGATATAAACACAATACCAATTAATCGTTTTAGTATCACCAACAGAATTCTCAAAGTTTTATTTTGTACTAATTATTTTAATATTTGGTGAGTTTTCTTTGCTATTCTCTGCTTTTTTTATGTTATTGTGAGAAACAATTTTATTTTTCCTTTTTTTCATTTCTTCTTCGATAAGTGTCTATTTATGTTCTCCAGACATAATTTTTATCATGTAGCTTTAGTTTCAAATCATCCTTGGAAAATTGTCCTTTTCCTACTTTCTTTTGACACTTGTGTGTCATTTCAATATTTCCACTGATAAAAATAAGAACAACTTTAAACGTGGATAAACTTTTCTTTTTTAATGAGGTTTTCCTTCTCTATTTCTTAGCAATTATCCTCATAACGCAAGACATAGTAAATGCTGAAAGGAATGTAAGGGGATCTCGCAAAATTCACAATACTCTTTTAGCAAATGCATTCCACTGGCCAATGGCATTTTTTGACTCGCGCCCAATGGGTAGAATTTTGAGTCGGTTCAGTTCGGATATAATAAGTGTTGATCTCCAATTACCAGCCTATTTTATCGGTGCAGCTTGGCAATTTTTTTCGGTATGTCGTAATTTTCTCACTCTATCATATTGCAAGCTCCCTGCTTGGCTTTCTCTCTTCCTCCGCCATGCTTTGTAAATGTCTCATACTTTTCGTAGCCAGTGGTAACAAGATGTATTCTGTAGTTCCATTGTTTGGTGTGTCCATGACTAAACGGTGAACAGGTATCCAACACCGAGTTTTCATTCTCAGGAATTGGACAAGTTTTTCACTCTGAAACACGTTTTTTCTCAGGTGAAGAACGTCTGAACTTCAATGAACAAATCAATTAAAAAGGGAAAGCCAATGTAAATCTTCATGAATATTAGGTGGTTGATACCAGACTATTGCCCACTCCTTTCAAACTTCATTGTAAGATTTTAATATTTGTAAAAATGAATGTATTTCATTTTTCATAAGTACCTAATTTGTCATGGTTGGAATCCTCTGACTAAAAACTTGTTTAAGGAGGTTATCATTTTAGTTTTCTAGCCATTGCTCTTTGTGTATTTTCCACTTTCTGGGATGCCTTAAATCGTATTCACTTTCCTTTTCACTTATGTTTTGAGCATTCAAATGCAATAGATCAATATCCTTAGGCTAAATGTTTGAATTTATCAATGAATGCAATGAGAATCAGAAAAAGTATACTTATCTGACAATTATGAAAGTGAAGAGGCAGCACCAGTGAGTAATGTAATGACAGAGGTGAAGACATGAATTACTGATGCATCTCAAAAGATTAGTCAAATCTTGATGTTGAAACAAAAGAAATCTAAAGGAAACGAATTGAAACAATGGCACTGATCATGAAAGAGATACAATAAAAGATTGATATAGGAACAGGGAGATTAGCTGGAAGAGAAACAAGCCTGCCCTTTTGTTGACCACATGCAGTGCTTTCCCAACTCCAGACAACACTTAAAATTTTTTCTTGGGGAGAAGAAAAAAATCAAATTTTTAACCCTTAAGTGCAATGTATAGCAGGAGCTTAATTAATTCAAGGTGAAAAATTTAAAATTATGATTTTATTTTTTTTTACATTTACGTACCTTTTGTGCTGCATCGCAACACGTCTTCATGTTCCAGACGCTAGCAGTTGCCACTGCAGATTTTTTTTAGCTTTTCTATTCTCAAATTCTTTGCCACTGCTTGCGCATTGTATGTTGGCACCAAAGTCATTTATGTTCACAAAAACCAACAACAGGGACTCACTTTGTCCTCAACATACATTACGCAATTGAAAGCCCCGCTTTAAATGCTTAACCCTCATGAAATCGCTTTTAGCTTTGAACAACTCATAGCTGTACTAATCTGATATTTAAACAAAATTAACACAATAAATTATAATGTGGTGAAACCAAACTAACTGGTTAATAAAAAGGAATAGAGATGAAGGCTTACTCCAAAATAAGTTTCCACGAAGGGTACCTACTTCGGCGTTTTCTTTTCCCTCTCTTCTCTCTTTGTGCGCCACAAAGTGGTCTCTAATACTGTTCAAAAACCCGATCATTATTTGAGAGGGTACTGAAGGGTAAATGGCAGACAGGACCCATTTTGGAAAAGCACAAAAACGCGATGTTAATCATTTAAACCTTTGCCAGGAACCTTATCAAAAATTCCAAATATGGAGATGTAGAGCTCCTTTGAATCAAAACGTTTTTTATTTTGGCTTTTCAGCGTTGAGTGCAGTTTTTGGAAACTATTTTCCAAGAATAGGTTGTCTCTTGGCAAGTCGTTCAATATTCTTTTTCTTTGTTGACGGTGTTATAAATGCACCTCTCTCTTTCATGGATGTAACCCCTTCAGGACGAATTTTAGTGCGCTTCTTAAAAGATCTCGATGTTATGGACTACTCTTTGCCTTTGATACTCCATGATATGGTTTACTGTCTCATCCAAGTATGTCTTTACTTTTCAATCTTTTGAAAATGGAGGTATTTGCATACAAATTCTTGCAAGCAACTTTTTTACGGGATGATGTCTATGTTCTCTGGAGTCAAGTCTGTCTGGGCGTCCTGCTGTTGGGAATCCATGCGTTGCCACCATCCAGGATCATTTTCAAAGATTTAATCTTTTCCGAGTGGTGCTAATGGCGCCTACGATTTAAGCATTCAGCAGGCATGATTTGAATTTAATGGAAATTTTAAATTATCAAGACCGTGTTGATTGCCGTGTGCTAGTTGCATTTTCCTCACGTTTCTTGCATGGAACTATTCAATAATTGTTTTCCGTACAATTTTGTCGTGAGATTTGAAAAAATATTACATAGTAAGTTCTATCACACATTGTATAACTGTCATGAGGGACGTCCAGCCACTACTAGGGTTCACAGATCAAAAAGCTGAAAATTGTCAGTATTATATGTAGACTGGCACACTGATTTTTGCAATGTCTGCACTACATGAACGACAATGGGTAGGAAACTTTTGTGTCAGCCTCGAAAAAACAGCTGCAAAAACTTTTTCAAATCTTTAAAAAGTTCTCAAAGGCTCAGTTGCTGGTTACTGTTCAAGTTGCTAGCGTTTTCATCGTTTAAAGAGGGCTAAACTAAGCACAAATTGCAAGGAGGTCCTAGTGCCCCTGAATTCATGATCACCAAATCTGCAATTAGTGCAGCTAGCATAATTGAATCCGTGGTCATTCTCAAAAAGACTTAAGCGCCAAAATTATGATACCAAAAAAACCCTTTTAAATCGACCTGTTCCAAATCTCATAGTTCCCATGTATGAAAGCATTTAATTAAGTAATCACATCATCACTTCATTTAAGATTTAGAACTGGTCAATTAATGCTGTTTTTACTATTCTCATTGCACTACCATTTTTGACGCTTGAGTCTTCTTGAGAATGACCGACTTCACAATGGAGTTTAATCATAGCATTGCCATCAATCAATTAACTCATCAGTTGGCTTGAAGTCCGTTTCTGCTCATTTCAACACTTGATGATAACTGACAAAGGCCTCCTTGCAATCTGCACTCATTTCAGCTCCCCTTTTAAAATAATTAAACCATCAACAACAGGATTCATGAATCACAGTCTAATACTAGTTCTGAAAATTGAAAATGAAACATGAAAACAGTGATATTCAATTAGAGGTACCTGCCATGCTACTGAACCATCAATCATCTGTCCAAACTTGCATGTAAATGGCATCTGAAATTTCATTGATCTTCAATTATCGCATGACCTGTTTGAGCTATACTTCTCTATTTAACGTCCTCTGTCTTGCTTGAAGGTATTGAATGCCTGAAATTTTGATGAAATTTAGTGCATTTGTCTTGTAATTGCTTTTTTTGTATCTGTAGTGTTGCTTAGCTGTCACGAACAATTCCGTAGCATGATTTATCTCGATGTTCTATTTTTCATTCATGTGAAACCTAAGTTTTTTACAATTATGTCTTTCCCAAGTTTGAAAATTTCTGTGAAGAAAATCTCCTTTGAAAATAGTTAAGCTTGTTTTTCAGTTTTTCTCAACCTGGTATGGCTTATCAAAATTTGCAATAGAATTTCAGAAAGTGTCACGTCTAGCACAACCTTAAAATAGAGTGTCCATATCTTTACTGTTGACTGGAAAGTTAATTATTTTTCATATCATTCTTGAGGGATCAGAGGCCAAGTGGTACACTCTATTTGCTTTGTGACTTGAAGTGTATTGCAACATTGCTAAGCTACTTTAATTATTTTTCCCCTGATTATAAAACTAAAATAAAAAAAAAAAAACTTGATACTCCTTTCACTAATATCAAAATATGTATCATCATTATTATTAGTGAAATACTCATAGAGCAATATTAAGAAAAAAATTACTTCTGAGTGAGGTCCGAAAAAGAATAAAAAATGATTGGAATTGCATATTATGAAAGAAATTATAACGTCTCGCCAGCTTTTATTTCCTGAGTACCGTGATAATGGATAATTATGTCACTTTAGTAAAATTTTGTGACCTCTAGTTTGGTCAATCCAGTTTTTCAACATTAATGGAAAGCGAGGAAGATGATGTAAGTCATTAGAAATTGCATCATGGTGGATTTCATCTTCAAATCTATCATATGCAAACCATTTTCAAACCATCATAATGATGTGCATGTTCATTAGTTTTAATGTTAATTTTTTCTTCCAGGTCATAGCAACGCTCTTCGTGATCAGCTTTTCCACCCCATTGTTCGTTGTTGTTATCTTACCAATCAGTGTTGTTTACTACCTCATCCAGGTAAATTGTCTAGCCATGTTTTTCACTTCCTTAGGGAAATTAATTTTGCAGCTGAAACTAGGTCCAATGCGGTCCAAACTCCATAGAGAGACTTTGCTTTAGTTTCGTAATTTGTCTGTGTAGTATTGATCGTAAGAAGAAAGAGTTGACTATTTTTGACAAGTGGGCCACCCTGATATAAGAGGCACATAACAAAATATTTTGTAAATGGAAATTTCCTGTGGAGCTCAATATTTTTGACAGCTTTAAACAAAAAAAAAGTTAAGCCTTGTAATTGTGAAGGCTATGATCCAGGATGAATGCAAAACTAAGTCAGTAAACAATCAGCTCTTGTTTGAGAGTTCATGCCTGATCTTTTAATCATGTGTATCTTTTTTTTAAGTAACATCTGAGTAAATTTTTTTCATTATATTCACCAGAATTTAAAAATTTTATGATACATTTATAGTCTCCTTTAACATTTTATTCTGATTGCAGCGATTCTACGTGCCCACCTCCAGACAGTTGAAGAGATTAGAATCTGTATCAAGATCACCAATTTATTCGCATTTTGGTGAAAGTGTCACAGGTATGTATCCTTATTTTTTCCTCTTACTTTTTTCAGAGACTTCAGACTTTTTTTTTTACTTTTTTCTTTTCTAGAGACTATTTATACCAGTGAATTAATATTTTTAAATTGATTAAAAAATTTACGTAGACACATCTCGAACAAGTCTTTTTTTTTTTTTTTTTTTTTTTTT